TTAAGTACTCACTTTTTATAGTACATGCTTTGTCTTGGTGGTCAGAAAGAAGTTCGTTAGAAAGCCGGCATCCTGCAGTGTCTAAAATACTTTGAAATTAGGCTGTATGATCATCTCTATTACAATCATCTGCAATTAATATGTTCCAATCAAAAACTTATTTCAGAATTCCGGCAGCTATTGCATGAGATAGTGAATCTACTGTAGGTGCCAACTTTCTTGAATATACAATCGAATTCGAAAAAACCAAAATATACCTTTGTTTATTTGTTTTTAATACCTTTTTGGACATCAGTCCAGTTGCGTTAGTTCGATTTCATACTGTATATCGAGTTTGGCTGTTACCTAACAATAACTGTCTTTATTATATGATTCATGGTACCAGATTTTATTTAAGGACATGTGATCGATTGAGGAAATTATTCTGTAAGCAGAATTCTAGGTTGATGAAAATACTTTGAAGTCACTTGCCTAGAATATTAACACCATGGTATCTTCTAGACCCATATGCATCTTTAGCGACTCCGGTAAATACAATATACATTTTGCTGGGTCGACTGCAAGCAAAAGAACCCGGAGAGGCTGGTTTCCCGTTAGCCTAGCTGCTGGCTGCCCGGCGCGTCCACAGGTGGCGGATAGTGGAAAGGCCTACAGTAAAGGTTAGCTGCGAACTAAACAGACTCTCGTGTTTGGCGAGTGAGCAGTCGCGGACCAGCAGCGGCATTGCTACCAGGGTGCGGCGGGCTGAGGTCTGGTTTATCAGATGTCTATAAAATGTCGCAAAACCTGACGACGCCACTTTAACGTGGCAACACTGAACCACCATTAAATAACTTCGCTTGTCACCGCTGCCTTGTTGTTAGGCTATTGAGCCGAAGCGCTAGATGAGACAACTTCGAGCAAATGATCCGAACGGCTGTTGGTAACCCGCATGTACCCACGATTCCCGAGACACCTCATTAAAACATATGTCTGATAGATGTAATACACTCCCTGGTACGGCGTCTGCGGGAACTGACGCGCTCCGCTACCCTGGTCCAGTGTTGGTTGCGAATAGTACGGGATCTGAACTACTCAATTGAACTCGCACCCTTAGTGTGTTAGTGTGCAAACTTCCTGGCACCTGGTACCCAAAGCCTGACGGTACGAAACACCTATCAGTACAACTTAGATGTCTGCTGCCTGCCCGACGTCCGAATTCCTGACTCAGGCGCTCGGGAAATAAAGATCCTCCGGAGCCAATTCACACTTTTCTTTACATCGCAGTGGCTCACTTGAATCTTCCAATAGACATGGTGTGTTGATTACCCTCTCGCAACAAGCGAACCATGCATTACTTGCTTTAGGACCCGTCAATGAACGGATGGCTTACGTGCGCTTGAAGAGTCATTTAAAAAACACCTCTGTCGTCTCCGTGTACGCATCAACTTCCGCTGCCGAACAGCGCAATAAAGAAGTGTTTTACTGGCAAATGCAAGCATTAGTTGAAAGCCTCCCTCGCTACGATCTGCTGTCTTTTTTCGGGGTTCGAATGACCGGACTGGGACTGTTGACTCCACTAAAAGTCATTTTATCGGCGGCTTTGCTCTTGATTCTCGACGTGGAAATGATGAAATATAACTGAATATGCTGATCAGAACAGACTATTTGTGCTTTCAGCACTGCAACAAACATCTACTTACTTGTTAATTAAACGATGACCATACGGCTAGTCAGATTAACTACCTGTTAGTCACCTAAATGTTTTGCAGCTGGTTCCCTGATGGCAGATCGCTGTATGTTGCCGAGACTGGTAATGTCCATTGGTCTGACCGGGTTCTCGTTTGTACACACTTGAAATCTCACCTCTCATCCGCGCCCAAAATACCACTCGTTAGACACCTTGATGTCGCCAAACTTCATTAACTCAGAACTAGCGAAGCCCTGAGCGAAAAAATCCGGCACTGTTTTGCAACCCGAACCTGAATGGATATCACTGAAAATACCAGTCTATGGGCAGCTGCTAAAATTCTTGGATACACCCAGTGATGCCGCAGTTGCTGGATTAGCGGAAGAACCCTGTAATTGCCCGTTCAGATAGGTGGATGCAGGTGCCGTAGTCATCATTCTTTCCGCCAACTCAAAATGCTGACGGCAAAATTGGCTAGAGAGGACTGGAAGAAATACTGGGCAGAAATAGCGACCTCCATTGAGCAGGCATCGAACGTGGATGCTACTCGAAAAGTCTACCAACTTATTCGCAATGTTAGTTGTAAGTTATCTTAACTGAGTGACTCAGTTCCTGGACTGAAAGGCGCTTTTATTACTGACCAACTCTGTCAACGTTGAGTGCGGGCGTGGACACTTCGAATACCTCCTCAACTTCAACACCGATCCCAGCACCCCCTTGCTCCCATCTACAGCAGACTCTTCTCCCTCTCTTACATATCCAGTGTCATGCGACCCACCTTCCGAAGGAGAAATTGCCGATGCCACAGTAAGGTTGAGCAAGAATAAGGCACCTGAAGAGGATAGTATACCCGCTGAAGTCTGCAGATCTTGTGTAAACATTATGTTGCCTTAGCTCCCTGAGGTGATTGGACAAGTGTGGAGAGACGAGGCCGGTCTTGATGACTGGGGCTCAGGCGTCTTTCTGACTGTCTAAAAGAAGGTGAATAAAAGAAGATGCGAGGACTACCGGGCACAAGTCTTATTGACGTCGCTGCGATGATCTTCGCTATTGTTCTTTTCAGACGATTCCGATCTGTGCGTAACTCTAGGACGCGGCCCAACCAAGCCGGATTCCATGCTGGGTGTTGATGTTTTGACCAGATAATCACACTGGGACGGATCCTTGAATTCCGCCATAGTTACCAATAAGCATTGGCCGTCTGACTTGTTTATGTTGCCGCTGCGTTCAATTCCGTCCATCCTGAATACCTATGCCAATTAATAGCATAAAATGTTACACCACAGAAATCATCGCCGTGATCAACGCATAATATTGCTCCTACCGCGCGGTTTCTGATCCACAACAACCACTCAGAACCATCTTTTATTCGATCTGGTGTTCAGAAGACTGTGCCCTGTTGCCCATTCTGTTTAACAAAGTCATTTACTGGATGCTCGGGAAGATTCTACGCAAAGAGGACGGTTTTTAACTTGCATCTGGACGCCAGTTTTTTGTATTTTGACTATGCCGATAATATCGCTTTATTTAGTTTAGTTTTTGGCGATCTACGATGTGCGCTGTCATGGATGAACGAAGTCGCTAAATCAGTCGGCTTTCTGAGAAACGCTGGGACGAACACAGTGTTTTTATGTTGCATTCCTGGTCAGCAGAAGGCACCTGTTGAGATTACTGGCCGCCAACTAGAAGGAGTAGACAGTTTCAATTACCTCGGAGCGAGGGTACTGCCGAATGGACAAAGCCGAAACGACATTGTCTCTCGAGTCGACGTGGGTCGTCGAGCTATCTCCAGCCGTAGAAAGTGCCAATGGACCGGACCCGATATCCCGATAGCCATGAAGTTCTGCGTGCACCGTGCATCTGTGCCGTCTGTCCTTCTCTACGGCTGGGAAGCTGAGATATGCGTGTGGAAGATAAAAGACTGGAGGTATTTGACCACTACTGCTTTAGAATCATCCTCCGAGTAAAGAACGCCGACTTCGTCCCAAATGAAACATCTCACACATATCTCAGGCACTCCCAAAAAGACGACTGCGATGGTTTGGACACCTTATTCGTCGTCAACCTCACGTGCTCAGTTGTATTGTCCTCTATTCGAAATAGTTACCCAATTGGAGACGTTGAAGATGGACTCAGCTCAAAACCTGGCTCGACTCAGTCCGTCAGGACGTGAAAGTGGTTCTTGGACCTTCGATGATTGGTCACTTGCGCTCGTAAAGATAATGGATTGAATAACCCGGGCCTACTGCCAAGAATCGTCACGCGTGAAGAAGTACCGTTCGGACACCATTGA